TGGATTCATGACTCCCAGCTCCTGCATAGTACTCAAGCTGTAACCCTGAATACCCACAAATTTTCTGCACTGAAGCCTTTCCTTGAAGCTAAAATGTGACCCAGAGCCCATAAGACAAGAAAGCGTTTCTCCAGTTTTTGAATTTAAGGTGGGGAAATGGCAAACACGAACACACGTGACAAATGCGTTACAATCCATGGACATTCCTGTGGCAATAGAGCTAAATGCACAGAAAATCCAAACGTATTTTAGACTGAATATCAAATGAAATTGTACTGTGAGGTCAACAGGGTTGATGTGCCTGGTGCTAACTCAGAGATTTCTGCCTCAAATGGCATTTTGTGGTGTGGCAGTCCCTGCAGTCCCCTCTCAAGATTAAACTCTGACCGCCTTCATCATGCACATGAAGCTCCTTGTAAGGAGTGAAAATAATTTGGGAGACTTCTGAAATATTTTGGAAAAGTGCTGAGCGTGGCACTCAGCTAAAAGAGATAGGAGACAGTAATAGAAAACGTGCTTTCTCCTCCTCACGTGTTTTTTTGCTCTCTGTGACAGAGACATCTCCAAATTCTAGAACTAAACTGAGACAATAAAAAGCTCCTACATGTTCAGTTTCTTTCATAGAAAGAAAAGAGATGAGACCAAATTCTCCCCTTGCATGTAACTCTGCTGACTTGAACAAGGTTGGATGCAGAACCGATGGCGGCCATCAAGCCCATTTGCTCAGCAAAAGGAAAGGCTGGATAGCAGCATGTAAGAGGAATTAAATTATATACCTTTATTTTTATTTTTTACTTGTGTGTTACTTTTCTGGATGATATTCTTACTATAAACCTCACCACAAGTGAAGGCTGAAGGGAAGGGCACCAGGGACCATGGAGGTTGAGTTGGGGATGAATGATCTTTTCCTTTTGAGTGCACACAAGCACAAGCTGAGGGGGAAGGAAGTTTCCAGAAAACCATCACCAGATAAGTGAGCAATTCAAGCATCTATGCACAGACATTGTGAGACATGAGTCCTTTTGGGTACCCCATGGTCTCTGACACAACTTTCTAGATTTAGCACGTGTGACACAGGACCTGTGGGAGTCCCATGCCATTGGAGCAACAGCTGCATTCCAATAGAACATTTCAGGCCCTAAAATGTGGCTAGACGTTTGTATCATTGAACAAAACCCAAAATCTCCTCTGCGAGGAAGACCCTACCATTCTGAAAGACTTGGAGAAACTGAGGCAGAAGAAGGCTTTGGGTTGCATCTAGAAAGTTCTCTAAATGAGGCCCCATGTATCTGAGATGACAGATAGGGAGGGATGGCACCTCAGTGCTCATTGCAGTGGGAACCCTGATATGAGACACCAAGAGAAGATAACAGAGTGGGATCTTAGTTTTTCAAACACATTTCCTGAATTGATGTGCATAAACTATTGAGGTCCAGAGTGATTTCTCCAAAGCCATGGGGCCAGATGCAGGCTTAGCATGTATACTCATCAATCCCTTACTCCTAGACCCTTAGCAGGAGCTCCCTTTCCCCTCCACATGGGGAAAGGACTTGGACTAGAACCCTCAGATGGACATGAGGTCATGAGCAGAATACAGAGAGGCATATGTCATTGACTTCAATAGCAGCTGCTCAATCCCTTACACTATACAACCCCTTACTACTATTAGTAGATGACTAATTACATAATAAAACCTATTAAATATGCATAGGCTTTGTTAAAAATACTTTGAATGGGCTGGAAGTCCCCAAGCACTGAGCCTGACCCCAGCTTTAAAAGAAGAAGTAGTTTCCAGCCCATCTCAGCTGATGATCAGATTGTAGCTTCACCTCTTTGACTCATGGTGGACTTCACATCATCAGACTGTACTCAGTCTGAAAGTTCATCATCTTGTATGAGCTCATCAGCTCAGGTCAGTGGAAAGACAGAGGTACATCCAGAGGGCAATTTACCAAACCCAGCTTAGATACCATCCTAGCCCATGATGAATCACCTTCTGCACTTGTTTGTGTCTTTCCATTGATCCTAGTATAAAATTAGACAAATAGTTTAGAGTAGATGCTTGACTTTGACACAGACATAGAAATAGATCCCACTACTGCAGTCAAAAAGCTGTTTCTTCACCATTAAGAGGCATTTGCTCAGCAGACGTCTATTTTTTTCCCCATGCTTCCCAAAGAGCTCCACCCACTAGTGATGTTGAGCTTGATTCTGGTGCAAATGCAGGAACTGTAAATGTTAGCATGCTGAGGATGGCATGGGGTCAGAATCCAACTCCCATGCAAAGAAGCCATATCCTTTGACCCATTCCTTCACTGGCATGGTGTGCAAGAAGGAATGTGAAAGCACCTTGCTTAAAGATATTAAGGTAAATTTGGTTGTGGGTGTGATCCTGCTGAAGCCAATGGTTTGACACAGAACATCACCTGCAGCAATTTGCATTCTTACTGTTTGGATAGAAGTCTCTGGCAGGAGATGTCTAACATCTCTTGCTGAGACTGCTAGCACTGCATTATATTAAATAAATCAGACTTGTCTTCCCTTATCCCATCTTTACAATTCATCAGTGCCTTCCCAGAGTTTTCTTTCCTGACAGTTTGTGTCTGAATATTTGTTACTGTGGCAATGCCCCCCTGCAATGGCCTTCTTTTCCATTTGCTATAAAGATCAGATTTTTCTTTTCCACTTGACTGTTTTATAAAAATCAGGCATCTATCCATCCATTGGTTCATCTTTTTCTCAATTTTTAGTCATCTGTTGCTTTCTACCAGATGATGTGTGGCCATCCACTGCATGCAGTGTTCACATGTACAGATCAGTTGTTTCTCTTTCCATTTCTTTCCTTCTCTCTTTTGATCTTTCCTTCCCTCTCTCCTGTATATCTCCTCTCATTTCATTGCAGCTATTTTGCAGTGCACCAATAGAAGTGCTTCCACCAATACACAGAACTTGCTTGTGTCCTTGGGCACAGCCCCGAGACATACAGTGATGCACAAACTGCACCAGCCTAGGAGTAGTCTCAGGAGATGCCTTGACTCAGAGACAACCCTTGGAGGCCTCATTTCTTCCTGTTTTCTGATTAAGCTCTGTTTATTCCCTATCTCTTCTGCATATTCTCTCAGTTCTGGGAATAAGCTGACATTCTGGGAAAGAAGAGCACTCTGGTTTCTCTACATAAACTTCCAGGGCTGAACTAGCCAACAGTCATAATTACATTGCTTTGCTGTCCATGAAAAGACTCCTGTGATTCACTGGGAGATGAATCACAACTCATTTCACTCCCTGGATTGATAGGAAAGAAAAAATGTCAATCCTTGGTCTTTTTCCAAAGATAGGAACTCAAGGTATGAGTAATACAAAGAGGACATTGGCAAGCACATTAGAAGTTAAACAGACTACAACTCCATGTTTGATTCAGTACTCATTTATGCCAGTAATGAACAGGAATAACTCTGGTGTTGTAAATACCAAGGCAATGGGCTGAGAGTTTGGCCCGATACCCACATGGTTTAAGGAAGCCTTGATGCTTGCATCAGAAGTGAGAGCTCTTTCTGTACCTGGCAATATGAAATTAAAAGTAGAGTAACATGTATAGAAGGGGAGTTGGAAGTGTTCAGCAGAGATGGGGCAACACTGCACAGTAGAGATTTGGCTCTGTGTCCAAACTCTGAGCTGATTCGGAGTCTGGATTCCATATATCTTAATCTGTGCCACTTTTAGAGATGGGAATGGCTGTAGAAAGTAGGTGAGGAACCAAATTTGGGGAGAGGCTGAAACTGCTCCAGCTTTGGGGATGAAGTTTGGGTCACTGTCATGTAAATGCACAGGTGACAAATTGTCATTCAGAGTCAAATTCCTGACACATTTGTGGTCTAAGGGTTTTGCTAAGTGCCCAGGGGAAGCCTGCATGAGGTGCTGAGAGTGGATGGACTAAGTGCACTTTCCACTCTTGGTGATGGTGTGGGAGAAATAAACATTTTCCCTTTCCTCCTCTTCTGGAGCAAGCCAGGATGCTGAGGAGCCAGATGTCCTCTTCCCAGCAGCAAGAGTTCATCCCAAGGAGAATAGCCCTGCACCATGTCCACAATGAAAACTCATTGGCTGAGCCTCGTACTGGGACACAGGTGGAACAACACGCCCCACCATCTCCTGTGGGACCATCTCCTTCTCAATGCACACACGGAGTCCTCTTCCCTTCACATACCAGGTTCTGAACTTTTCTGTACCAAGCACGTCACCTTGTGCACCAGCAAGGCATTTGCTGGAAACCACTGGCAGTTCTCTCTCCCTTTCCTTCGCCTTCTCCCTCCCTCCCTCTGTGTAGGTGCCACTGCATCCTATGACAAATTTGGCAGAAGCTACTATGCTAAAAAGTTCATGCGAAGAGCCTGCCCACTCTACAGCTCTATCATATATTTCTAGACTTCTCTGGTTCCAGGGCAAAAGTAAAGGAGAATTTCATTCCTTTTTTTTTTTTTTACATCATTAACTTATCTGCTTTTATTTCTTTTGCTGTTGTTGTTGTTGCTCTTATGCACAGAGTCTGGCCGTTTGAGTATGTAGATAGATCTCAGAAAGCTTAGTGCTGGTGTCCAACACAGCCTTTCTCTGGCTGAGGGAAAAGGAGATATCTAGGAAGATGCAAGTCTTTCAAAGGACACTTAATCACACAAATCACTTCAGGTGGGCGAGAGCAGAGCCAATCCATGCTTTTGCTGATGCTCTTCTTTCCAGCTCTGCGTTGCTGGCCAGCTAAAAAGCCACTGTCTCCTGCGTGATGCATCATTGTGGCGTAACTTGTGTGACCGCCAGATGAACCTCAGGATAGCCCAGAAGTCATTAGACCTATTCTATCCAACCAGTTTTTAGCCTTTAATTTTTTTTTTTTTTTAAATCTTTTATTATCAAAAAAGTAGACTTCTCTCTTGTCTCCCAACCTCAAAGGAAGTAGGCTCGAATCTGTTTCTCCTCTTGGAGCCCTGCAAAGGGGCTTGCCTGCTTTACTTGCACGTGTGGACATCGTAGACTCGTATGCATTCCTGGCAGCGGACGTAGCAGCACCAGTGGAAGATACAGTGGCACTTCTCTTTCCGTTTCTCAGTCCTCGTGTTGTGCCCGCGGCCGCAGCACAAAAGGTCACAGCCGTCAATCCCATGGGAAGTGACGTTACAGATCCTGTCACGAGTCCCGAAGGAACCCGTCTCAGGGTTGGGCTCACAAAAGTTGGGTGAGTTCTCATAGTAAACCAGGTCCTTCTCAGTCGGAGCCTTGAAGAAGTTGTATTTGGGCCGCAGGGTCTCGACCCAACCACGGGATTCCCGGTGTTTTTCCACCACCATTTCCGAAGCGCTGTCGTATTTGTCCTTCAGGTAATCCCCGATGACCCTGAAGTCAGGCTGAGACCACCAGCAGGTCTTCACTTCACAGCTGCCCGAGAGGCCGTGACATTTGCACTTCAGATGCATGAGTTCTATAATGGACTGGAAAAGAGAAGACGAGAAAAAGCAAAGAAGAGGGAAGACATTAGCCTGCCATCGAAACACATACTGCATTTTCCAATTCAGCCAGCATTTAGAATCATAGAATCCAATATCTAAAGCTGTGTTTCCATATATACATTTGCACCTTGTGAACAAGAATCATCTTTTTCCCTCAGTCAGAGCGCTGCTAAGGTACTGAGGCAAACAAAACATTCACAACTTGTTATTTTCAGTAGCTATCTCAGATTCTCACCTCAATTTTAAACACCCATCGATTGCTTTCAGTATGGGTTGAAGTGATTTCGTATACATTAACATTTTCCTACCTGTGTTCATATATGAATATTTCAGTATTGTCACCCAAGGACATGATTTGGACATGCACAAAAGCAAAGAATGGAGAAACCTACTAAAACAATGCATTCAGGAGTGAAATATACTGCTATTCCATTTGAAAATCAAAGGAATGAGAAATGTCCTAAACATCCAGACCATAACTCCATTTATTACGTATGTTTTCATGTTTGCTTCATCAAACAAATTTCCAGCTTTACTGGTGGCCGTGTTCAGAAACCTGAAAACTAATGCATCATTTATTTTCAAACAAATACGATTTTCTTAAGAAGAAAAAAAAAAACAGGAGCTCAACTTCTGAATTTGAAAAGCTCACATTTCAACATAAAGCACTGTCCTAGAATATATGGGAGGGAGATTATTGATCATTGGTTGCCCTCACCACTCATAAAATTAGTCCAGAGGTTTCTATTGATGCTGCCCTCAGGTATTCTCAGCTTTATGCAACTCACTTGATAATCTGCACTTTCAGACTGATCAGCAAATTTCTGGGTACGTGAACAGACGAGTGGCAGCCTGAGTCCAAGAGATTTGCCATGATTCAGCACCTTGATGTTCACCAGGTGCTTTCCTGTGTTATTTACAGAGTATCACATGCCACAAAAGAGGTTGTAATTAGCAATGAGAGAGAACCACAAAACGTTTGGTCTGTGTAATCATGCTGAACTTAATCAAAGCTGCTGGCCTGGTGGTAGGGTTTGAACTCATATGGGAACTAATATGAAACACTGCCTATGGGCTCAAGCTTAGCTCAAACCACTTGAGCATGGAGGGTTGAAACAGCTACCCATGGGTGCTGGCATGGTGAGAATGACAAACACCATTCCATAAAGCAGAGGATTTCAGATGTTCAGAATGGTTGAAATCTGTAGAAGATCCAGAGGCAAATCAGTGCCAAAACTGACAGTCGTAAGACCTCTCCAGACCTGAGATCATAGGGATTTTGCTCACAGCACATCTTTTTCTGAGATTCTCACTTTAAATCCCTCCTTTTCAGCCTATCCAGCTTCCCCACAGCCCTCTGTATCTCATCACCTATCCCAGGAATGCACAGTGCCTTGGGTTACCTGGGATAATTTGGGTCAGGGCTTGAGGAAACCGCATTACTCCTTGTATTTGTCTTGCAGACAAGTTCTGTTTCAGGTGGTATTTCTTTATCTTGATAAACTGTACTCCATGTTTCAGACCAGCTGTCTTAAGGTGTGAGGTGGAATAACTCCATAGAGGTTAGACAGCATCCACCTGAAGATCTCACACAAAACAGAGGCTTCCTAGCATTGCACGACTGTGCTGGCTTTGCTATGGCTCTGCACAGTCATACATCCTCCCAGGCATGTGTGAGGGCTTATCCGGAAGGAAAAAGACCACATTAACCTCTTTTGATTGCAGTGATGTATCTTTCTTCCACTGAGGGATGAACTAATTTGAGTTTACTACATGAGAAAGAAAAGCAGCTATCTCATAAGAGCAGTGGAACGATCCACATCAGCAAAAGCTTTGCGATTTAGTTTCACAAATTGTTTCCCATAAATTATGTTCTTTGGGCGTTCATGGACTGTTCTTGAGATGAAAAGAGAATGTCCTGTGATAGGGACTTTTCCACCTTACAAAAAAGATTCACTGTTTATGAGTCAGCCACGGTGATGAGAGCAAAACCTTATACTTTCAGTTCCCTCGTATATTTTTTTCAGTGGCAGAAATGAAAACGCACTAGCTGGCTTTGGGGCATGGTCCATGTTAAATCTGAAGGCACCAGAGTCACATTCTCTCTCATTTTCCTTTAAATATTCCCTGGGAAATAGAACACTGTTGAGAAGAGGGGTGGTGGGAAATGCTCTCCTGCTTTTCTCCACCCTCAAGTCTACAGGGCAGGACAGGGATAGCAGGGGAAAAGGCTCCAAGCCATTGGGTTCCCTTCAAGAGCTCCTGCAGGATCACACTCCACAGACACCATCGACTCAGCTTTCTCCACCAGGATGGGCCCTTCTACACAACATGCCCGGAGTGGTACAAATGCTGGAGACTTCTGAGGCACAAGCTGAGATATAGACAGATTTTATAGGTCTGTAGTATGAAATAAGGGGCCTGCAGTTGTACATTGGGCTACCTAAATCTCACTTTAGGCAGCTGAGTTCTTTTATAGCTAGGCCTGGATGCACGTGTTCTGTGTGACTGCTGCACTTAGATTAGGATTCAGCTGCCAAAACACAAGGACATAATATCATTTCTGAGCTCCTTGAGTGTCCAAGGCATCAGATCACAGATGGAAGAGGACCTCCAGAAGGCCCACAGTCTTTCCCATTACAAGTCCAAGGACAGACTGGATGCTTCAGAATATCTTCCTTGGGTTAAACTAAATTGCCTTTGCTTAACCAGCTGAATCCTGCCCATAAACTTTGGTCCATCTCTCTTAACTTCAGATGTCTACAGTACAGACATCTCTGGCCATACAGCTCTCCTTCCTATACCCAAGTACAAATAGGGCATCACCTAACTGAGCTATTTCAAGATCCAAAACTTCATATTCCACCATGATCCACTTACTACGGAGTGATATGGACAATTAACTCCAAGTTAGACATTTACATCTGAATGGGTGAATTTACTTTAAGACCAGGCACAAGGATACATTGGTCACCTCCCAGCAAAGAACAATTTTGGGACATGTATCACCACTTCATGACATAAAGCAGCCCAGATTTATGTTTGATTACTCCTCTTAGTTCCCTCTGGAGATAAGAAATCAGTACAGCAGATCAAGAAAGGTAAAAACAAATGTCCTTACGGTCCTTCCAGCTTCATTGTTGTGCCTGTTCATGGCTGACCGAGCATCCGGTCTGTTCTCTCGGGCATCAGCGAATTCCCGAGACACCATGCTCCCAAACTCCACGTCCTCACTGCAGCCTCCCCATTTCCAGCCTTCCCCTGGAGAGCCCTTATGACGAGTGTCACAGCCGCAGATGGTGGCCGAGCCTTCGGCACAGGACCTGGTCACTGCAAAAGCCACTCCGGCAGAAGCAATGGCATGGACGAAGGCGGATTCCCTGGTAGCTGTGAAAGAAAGAAATCGGTGAACATTGGCCTGCAAAAGGACCACGTGTGGCCATGATCAAGGCTGAACATCTTCTCTTGAGGGCATGGCAGAAAGACACAAAACTCTCCTCTTATCTGTGGTGCAAAGGCATTGCCTTACACTAGGCAACTGTAGAATCATAGATTGGCTTGGGTTGGAAAAAATCATAAAGATCATCCAGTTCCAACTCCTTTGCCATAAGCAGAGTTGCCCCTCACCAGGTCAGGCTGCCCAGAGCCCCATCCAACCTGGCCTTGAGAACCTCCAGGGATGGGGCATTCACAGTTTCTCTGAGTAACCAGGCTGGATGCAAGCTCACTGAGGTCAGAAAACAAAATTTAACTAAGTTAAAACAGACAGCTGTTGGAGAGAGTCCAGAGGAGAGCCACAAAGATAATCAGGGGACTGGAGCACCTCCCCTACGAAGACAGGCTGAGGGAGCTGGGCTTGTTCAGCTTGGAGAAGAGAAGCTGCGGGGTGACCTCATGGCAGCCTGCAGTACCTAAAGGGAGCCTACAAACAGGAGGGGAGTCAGCTCTTGGAAAGGGGAGATGACAGCAGGACAAGGGGAAATGGCTTGAAGTTGAGGGAGGACAGCTGGAGGTTGGATGTCAGGGGGAAGTTCTGTGCTATGAGAGTGGTGATGTGCTGGAACAGCTGCCCAGAGAGGCTGTGATGCCCCGTCCATCCCTGGAGGTGTGCAAGGCCACGTTGGATGGGGCCCTGGGCAGCCTGGGCTGCTATGAAATGGGGAGGTTGGTGGCCCTGCATGTAGTCAGGGATTGGAGATTCATGATCCTTGAGTTCCCTTCCAACCCTGGCCATTCTGTGATTCTGTGTAAGTTCTTAGGATGGAGCTATGGCAAAACAAAAAGCAATCAAAAATGAAATATCTCAGGGCATATAAATTATATTACATACTAATTTGCAGGCAGCGCATCACTTAGCCACGCACAGAGCCTCAGTGTTGACTTCTGATGAGTAGAATTTGGGCCATAAAAATGCAAATCTACAGTTAACATCAGCCTTTGTATTTCATGGTGAGACCAACACTCAATGCTCCTTCACTGGGACAGCTACTGATGGCTGGAAGGTGGGTGAATATCAGGATGGACAGATGCTTCCTTATCTAACTAAGCATTAACCCCACCCTCCACTCTAAAGCCAACTTGGAGACGGTGCTCAGCATATGGCATCATCCAGGTTCCTAACGCTTTGCTCACTTTGCCTAACTAAATTCCTGGCCAAGGGGACTGGAATGATCTCTCCTTTTCTGTCCATTGCTTCACATGCTGGATGGGATGAGCCAAAAGTTTCCACGACCTCTGAGGAAACCTTCCTTGACAGCCTTTCATCATAGATAGAGATGGGAGGAGAAGGGCAGCTCAGTGTTGGCCTAGCTTTCCCGGTTTCCAGTGCTTTTTCCACAATATACTGAAAAGAAAACCTTTCAAACTGCTTTGAAAATAGGAATGTACCAAAGGATCGGCTTTATTTTCAGTTTTCATTTCATTCTGTTTCTTCACTCACTGGAAATGACCATGGAGTTCAGCACTACACCTCAGAAAACACCTCTGCAATGCGTTTTGGCTTCAGGAAAATAACATTTTATCATTAAAAAAGATTGTTCTCAATCCCTTGAGGCAGTTCTAAGAAGTCAATGGTTCTGCTAACCTGCCTCCTTTCACCTTGTATATTTTACCACATGAGCTCATGTCCTGCCTATAGACCAATTGACCAAGAACCTTTTGAATGGTTGAATGATCAGAATAGGACAGTACTGAAACATAACTGGACCCATGAAGGTAGGAGGTCAGTTTCCAGTTGATGCAGCTTCACCAACTTTCATCGAGCTTTGCTTCATCTCATGATATACCTCCACAAATCCTCCCTAATGTTCTCTGCACCACTTTTTGCTGATCTGAGCTTTCCCAGGGCATTTTGGCTTAATCTTTAATTTCTAGATGCTTCCAGGCTTTACAAACACAAGGAGAGTTTAATATGCCAAGCCAAAATACCAGTGTGTTCTCAGGGAGAAATCAAACCTGCACGCTTGCAGAGAAGTCTCGTCTGGACTGAAGGCTTAAGCAAGAACTTGTGCAGTGCTGCTTTGCTTTGGGAAGACTACCAAACACAGCAATAGGCAAATCAAATAACGTGCATGAACTTACAAGCAGAAGGTATGAGCAATGTCCTGGAACACAACGTTGCAGCGCATCATGAGGTTACTAAGTCCCTGGGAGCCAGAACCAAAGGAACACTCAGTTCCACAATGTGATTTTTAAAAATCCCTATTCAGCATCTCTCCACCCTGAAGGATCCCAAAGCTGGTGACCATGCAGCTCTTTGGTTGTGCAAAAGCTTGGCTTCAGAGCATGACCAGGTGAGTCCAGTTCTAACAGGACTGAGGACTCAGCACTTTGCTCTTGCCTAAGCTCAGATGGGATCCAGAAACTAAACCTCTGCCATGGGGAGGTTGATATGGTGTCTACAAGGAGATCGATGCCCAGTCCCATGGCCTGTGAAAGGCAAATGCTTCTCACAGAATCCAGTCAGTTAAACTGCTAGGATGAGTTCCATTATCCTCTGGCAGAGAGTTGGAGGATACAGAGACCAGAGAATAGCTGAAACATCTCTGCTGCCTCCAGCTGCAGCCTAACTAATCCTAAAATTTTTCATATGATCAGAAAATCATAGAATCATCAGGTTGGAAAAGACCACTATGATCCCCAAGTCCAACTCCAACCCATCCCACCATGCCCGCTGACTACATCCCTCAGTGCCACACAGTCCTTGAACACCTCCAGGGATGGTGACCCCACCACCTCCCTGGGCAACCTGTGCCACTGCCTCACTGCTCTTTCTGAGAAGTTTTTCCAAATATCCAACCTGAACCTCCCTGGCACAACTTGAGGCCATCCCCTCTTGTCTTATCGCTGTTACATGGGAGAAGAGGTTGACAGAAGAGGATGTTTGCAAATGCCTTGGAGAATCCCCTGGGCTAGGACTGAAAAGAAAGCAGCTGCAACCACAGTGTTTGTACAGAAGGCTTTGTCCTGAGTGTGTGTGAGAGGAGTAGCCCTGTGTTAGGAGGGTTAGGAGTCCACAGGTCCTGCATTCTAGCTGGGCTTTGGAGGGATTCATGAGCTCAGAAAAGAGGTGTTTCCCTGCATGCAGCTGCAGAGCTCTTCAAAACCCAGGGAGCATCAGGCAATGCTGGCAGAGGGGCTGCAAAACTTCTGCCTTTTGCAGGGCTTTGGCACAACTAAACAGTGGAGCACAGGAGCACAGCTTTTTCTGCAGGTACCCAGCTCTGCCTAAATCCCAGTCCATTATATCAACTGTGCAGTGCTGCTGGCCCTTACTCAAAGCCTTCAGCTCCGGGAAGGTATTGATAGGATTTGACTTAAGAAGCTCCAAATTATACTTGGCTCTTCTCTTCCCAGAAAAAAAGAAAAAAAAAAAAAAAGAAAAAAAAAAGCCCACTGCCTTTTACAGCCTGTATATGCCGTAATCACTCCCCTGCTTTTGAAATGCAGCCACCCCTGGGGTGGAGTGCAGCCACCACTTAACAGCACACAACAGGAAGCAAATAGCATTGTATCTGATGGTAACTACCTGGGGAATGCAGGCAGGCAGAGCAAAGCTGAAATCTGGCCTCGGGCACTGAGGTTAGGAGTTTGTCTCTTGAGAAAGTTGCAGCCAATCTCTTTAATGACTGCATGAAATTAGGGCACTGGGTTTACTTCTCCTGCCCCTAACTTCAGGCAGCAAGTTCAATATTGACGCAGATGGAGGAGAGCCATCGCTGAATCACGTCCTGCCACCTCCCCAGTTATGGGACTGAACTCCCATTACCGAGCAGACATGACCCTATGGAGCACCAGAGAGCTCCCCAGGTTGTAGCTGGAGGCGGTGTGGCTGCAGGAATGGAGGAGTGTATAGAGATACAGATAAGCAGAAGGAAAGCATGCACTTGTAATGGAAATGAGGGGTTATTAAGGTGCCATATAAAAATGCAAGAGACTTAGCAAAGATAACAGGAAAGTGCAGTATGTTGGTCAGGTCGCCTCATTCCTCTCTGGGTGGTTCTGGTAGCAGGAGACAAGCATCTCGTTAGGACTTGAAGAGGGCTTCTGGAAAGTCACCTGGCAAGGGAAGGTTGCTAGGGACTCATATCTCACGGGGATGCTGGCTTAAGAGCATCTTAAACACTTTGTTTTCAGTGCAGCACAAGGACACCATAGCTCTGGCTTGTTTAATTCCTGCCTGCTCCTGCTCTCAAGTTTCCCTGACTTGGGGGGGATCTAAGGTATCCTGGTACTGTGTTCAGTTCTGGGCACCTCACCACAAGAAAGACAGTGAGGATCTGGAACGTGTCCAGAGAAGGGTAATGGAGCTGTGAAGGGCCTGGAGCAGAAGTCTTGATGGGGAGCAGCTGAGGGAACTGGGATGGTTCAGCCTGGAGAAGAGGAGGCTCAGGGGAGACCCCATCATTCTCTACAACTGCCTGAAAGGAGCAAGACAAGGGTTGGCTTCTTCTCAATAATATGAAAGGTCATGGCCTCAAGTTGCACCAGGGGAGGCTCAGATTGGATATTAGGAATGACTTCTCTGAAAGAGCAGTGATGTAGTGGCACAGGCTGCCCAGGGAGGTGGTGGGGTCACCATCCCTGGAGGTGTTTAAGGACTGTGGAGGTGTGGCACTGAGTGATGTGGTCAGTGGGCACAGTGGGATGGGTTGGGGTTGGTCTTGGGGATCATAGTGGTCTTTTCCAACCTGACTGTCCAACCAATCACTGTCATTTCTGGAAATAGTTTTCTAAAGAGCCCATTCTGTGAGGCTGGGAGTCTGAATGGTGCATGTAGAACACCCCTGTGCTCAGCAGGAGCATCATTTCAGGATGCAGAACGATATGGTTGGGCAGTATTAGTATAAGAATTCAAAGTTCTGAAGATGATGTGATATAAGATTCGA